GGTTGAGGGGGGGGAGGGGGGAGGGAGGGAGAGAGGGGACTTCCTAAGTGCAAGAAGGTTGATGTTTCAAGATTGAAGTTTTGTCTAGGTTTGTTATAGTTCAGTCAATCATGAGTTCAACACTAATGAGTCAACTATACATTAAAGAAGATAGTTTTTAAGACAGGGACTCACTATGTAGCCCAGGCTAGCCTCAAACTTTTGGTGATTCTCCTGCTTCAGTCCTGAGTGCGAGATTGCAGGGGTGCACTATTACACCCAGCTTAAGGAAGATATCTTTAAACAGAGACACAAATAAAATAAGGTTATGTATTGAACTGACAAAAATGTTCTGAGCAGAGGCTTGCTGGAACCTAACCCTGTATTCCCCACAGGAGAAATAGTTCATGACTAGCTAATACCTAACAACAACAAATGATGACAATCAACTGCAATTCTCCCTTCCAATCTGATGGTAGAATACTTTCTCCAAAACTAAATTCTGTAATTTCTAAATCTTCATATTAAAATTTTAGACTCATATATAGCATTATAGATCCATATTTATTTTTCATTAAAGATTTTTACTTATTAAAAAATTAGACTATTATCAGTTAACTACATTTCAAAGAATCATTTTAGTAGGTACGATTTATTTATACTCACGAATGTCTTGAGATGTTAGATTTTGAGATAATCATAAAGTACAATATTCATTTACATTCACATGTACAAATATTTACTATTACATTCTTTAAAAGACAACTGTATTGGCAACATATCATAAGTGAAATCAAAAGAAAATATGTGCAACAAATACAAGGGGTTAGTATCTGTGCTATAAAAAGAACTGTAACAGATCAAGACGAGCAAAAAGAGTAAAACCCACTATAAAACCTGACATGGTCAGACGTGTCGGCACTTGCCTGTAGACCATGTCCATAATCCCAGCACTCCAGGAGGCTGAGACAGGAGGATCACAAGTTTGAGCCCCGCCTGTGCAACTTAGCAATATCATGAGGCTGTCTCTAAATAAAAAACAGCACCAAACAAAAAAAGGGTTGGAAATGTAGTTCAGTGAGAAGGCCCAGGGATCAAACAACTCTACTGCAAAAACAAAGAACCTGGACCAAGGAGAATAGACATTTAGGAAAAGGACAAATGATGCTTAGCTATGTGGACAGACTCAGTATCACTTACTGAAAAGTGATTTGCAAAGGATGTGTGAACTCACAAATCTGTAAAGGTCTTCCTAGCAGTGATGTTTGAAAGACATTTGGTGGACACCACAGAACTGAAGGAGGAATTATGGCATTGCTTAGAGCCAAGCCCTTTTCATACTATGGAACAGAGAAACACGTTTATAGAGTGAGGTTGGTAATGCACACCTTTGATCCCAGCACTCTGGGAGGCTGGGGCAGGAGGATGCCAACTTCAAGCCCAGTCTGGGCAAGTTAAGAGATTCAGCAGGACCCCAGCTCAAAATAAAAACGGGGCTGGGATGCAGGGTTGGAGGCTGAGATGTGTTTCAGTGCCATGTATCACCAAAGTAAAGAAATTATGGAGCAGAGAAAAGAGAAGACAACCCCTATGCCACAGAACTGTGAGTAAAGTGCAAATATAGAAAGGCTTATATAGTTAAGCATCAGTGCTTTGGGTTAGGAACACTTAGTCTGCAGTTCTATTCACTTCTATGTGCCAATATACGTGCACATGGTACATGCATAGAACATTCTAGAATTCTCCAAGAGACTATGGTTAACTCTGAGGAGTGGGCTAAGAGGCTGTTGTTATAGGAAAAAGTCTTCGTTTTCACCATTTACACACTATTAGAATTGGTTTTACCAAGTACATGCGCTACCTAAACACTGGAATTTTTTGTTTTGGGGGATTTTTTGGGTTTTTTGATAGGGTCTTGCTATGTAGCCTAGGCTAGCCTCAAATTCATGGTGATTCTCCTGCCTCAGCCTTCCAAGTGCTGGGATCACAGGTGTGTGCCACCACACCTGGCTGTTAAACACTGGAATTGTTTATATTGGCAGCCATGTAAGTCTCTTCTCAGCCTGTGCTTCAAAGAGAAAATCCAGAAGTCACATCATTCTAACCTTCAGTTCTGCCCTCTGGCTCTTCTGCCTGCAGAGCTCCTTGCTGTGGAAAGGCTATGTTTCCCTTTTGCAGCATTTCCAAGCTTTCTAAAGCGGTACTGGGTCCAGACAGTGACTTCAAAAAGGAAATGTTATTGGCTATTCCAGAGAGTTCTGAAGAGTTTCTAGGATTGTTCCAGGACTGACTGCCATTTCTGGCAGTTTGTATTTGATTATGGTCATAGAACAGACTTGGACTCCTCCCCAAATGCTCACATTCAGGAATATAAGCTTCGGTGTCTCTGTAAATACACTGCTTTGTTTCCTGAGGGTTAGGCAAAGAATCACAAACTTGGAAATTGGACTTACCAAGTGCAGCAGATTCTGAGTGATCCTGACTGCTATCTAATCCTTGGATACTGTTCTCATCATCAGAGACTGGTGGGAAAACCTGTTGAGCATCTTTATCTAAGTCACATCCCAAAATAAAAGGCAGAGTTTGTATATGGAAAAGTAAGTCATTGTTTTTAGAAGTCTGATTAGTGACTATGTTTAAAAAGTCAGGAGTATGTAAATCTGCCTCTGTTCCTTTAGATTTACTTGAGAGTAAAGCAAAATCACAGTGGCTTCCAATGTTTTGGACAGATCCGTTAGCATCTTCCTTGCTATCTACATATCCATCAACACTGCCCGCTGTGGAAGGGCTGGAACATTGCTGTGCAGCACTGATGCTGTCCTCTGCTATTGCTTCTCCTGTGTTTCCACCTTCACAAGGTCCCATGTCCAGACCCACACAAGTTTTATCACAAAACTTCGACAGTGACTCTTTAACAAAACATTTCTCTGTCCACTTGTCACCAACAGACATCAGGTGTGGCAAAGTTTCACTGTTAATTTCCTGACAGCTTGGACCTTCTCGTGGCTTTTGAATACATGAATTGCCATTACCCAGAACCCCTCTTACCCAGATCCCTGCATCCTGGGAAATGCTGCTTTCCTGTGCGTTCTCCTCCGTATCACTGGTCTCAAAATTGCTCAGATTAAAAGTTACCTCCAAAAATGGCTGTGTTCCATTCCCTCCAGGGTCCTGGACACTACCCAGACTCTCACTGACAGTGTTACTTTCTGAAACCTTGTCCACGATGTCATGACTCACGGAAGACTCAGCCTGCAGATGTCTTGAGGCTGGCAGAGACCACATTGCAAACTGACATTCCTGTCCTGGGGGTCCAAGTGTACTAACCCCCCTTGCAGCTTCTCCAGTGCACCGCTGGTCATTTCCACTAAAATGTGCTAACTTATTTTCACAAATACCAGCCTCTAAGAGTAACCCACCCTTTCCTACACTGCTACAGCTCACCAGCAAGCTGCTGCTTCCACAAAATGAAGGAATTTCTAGTTTTTCCTCCTGATTCCCATACTCATCAGTGTCCACTGGCTCATCTTCGTGATACTTTTTGCCCTTTTCAGCACATGTTCCAAAGGCCTGCATCCTTTTTTGTACCAAAAGGTCTTCCAAATTTAAATTCATGTCATTTTCCTGCACTGCCAGTTGCCTTTCCATATCGTCTCTACCTGTGGCAGAAGCAGCTGCCCGGGAACTCAGTGGGGATAAATACATGGCCCAGCGGCTTCTGCTTCCCACAGCATTTTCCGGCTGCTGCTGGCAGTGTGGACCCTCTGTGCCTATCACCTCGGTGCACCTCTCCAGGCCAACTCCACACACAGGTGGGGTCTGCATCTGCAGAGAGCATCTTGGCAGCTCAGCCTCTGGTTCCTCACATATGGTTGCCGGCGTGGACTTCAGAAGAGCTAAGATCTGCGCTTTGCTTCTCATGTGCTGCTGAGAGACTTGCGGACATGGAGGGATTGAGCTGTGTCCTCTCAAGGGTTCTGTGGCCAGTGCAGGGTCAGCATGCTGACACCCAGAGCTGAGAGGAGCGTAGAGACCTTCCTCTTGCCCCGGCACTCCCAGGCTCCCCTCAAAGGAGGTGGTAGGAAATGGACCCTGGCTCTCTCCGGTTTGCACAACAACAGTACTTTTGGGGTCTGTTTGTAGAGCATTTATCTCCTTCCTGCCAACAGTAGAAAACAAAGGCAGTGTGCTGCAGAAAGGAGGAAAAAAAGCAGTGCCAGCCTCAAATGATCCAGATGATTCCCCGTTTTCTGTAACAGTCATTTTCTTTGGGACTTGACGCGGTCCTTGAAAACCCTAAAAATATAACAACAATTGTTAGCTATACCGCTATCTATAAAGAAAAGATGAAATAAGGGGCAGGGATTTAGCTCAGTGGCACTGCACTTGCCTTACAAGTGAAAAGTCCTGAGTTCAATCCCTGGTACCGGGAAAAAAAAAAGAAACGATGAAAAAAAATGGCTAAAAGAAGGGAGCTAGGGATTTAGCTCAATGGCATGTGCCTACCTGGAAAACACAAGGTCCTGAGCTTTAATTCCTGCTACAAAAAAAAAAAAAAAAGACAGAAGGAAAACATATGCTTTGCCTAAGATACGTAGCAACAGATATTTTCTAACTTAAAATATAATTAACTTGTTAGTAAGATTTTTCTCACTGGAAATTTATTTCCTTTCTGAGCAAATGAAGTACTATTGAATGGCAGGATACAGTAACTGCAAAATTCATTACTACTGAAACACTGTTATAAACATATATTGATATTCTACTGTCCACAGAGAAACTTACAGTTGATTTCCGTTTTAAACCGGGGGGCTGACACCCACGAGACCAAGCAGAGCACACGAAGCCCCTGGAACCCCATGCTGGTGCTTCTTCAATGACTTCCTGTTGAACAACTGGCCTTCCAGGGGCCTTCACCTCCTCAACTGTGATTAAATAGCGATCACTTTCAAAGTCAGCCCCAGGTTTCACCTAAATGTCAAAAATAGATGCAATGGGCTGGGGCATGGCTCAGTGGTCAAGCAATCACCTTGCATGTGCCAGGCCCTGGGTTTGATCCCAAGCACTGCAAAATACATACATACATACACACATACATGCTAACATCCTACACATCCAAGTTCTTTGTTCTCTGTATGTCCACTAAGCCCACTAATACTAGCAAGGCACAACAGATGTTAATACATAAATGTTAAATGAATAAATCTATAACTAAATTCCTCAGTAACTTCTCAGGCTGCACTAGTTAACAATCACAGAAATGGATCATACAATTTTAATAGTTGGCTCACTTGTCCATTGAAGTGGAGCCCACAGGAGGCCCCTTGTTACATGCCAGGTAAAGCAGTAATAAGTATTTGCTAAGCTAAAATAGAAACATTCATTTGTTAGTAAGATTTTTCTAACTGGGACAAGTAGCAAACCATGCCTCAGAGAACTCACTTAGAAGCCATATAAGTAGATATCATTTTTCAAATTAGAGCTATTAGTTGTCAATTATATCTTTATAAATTAATATGAATTAGATATTCACAATTAGCATATATTTAAGGTACTAGGAATAACTAGTAGGTTAAAAAATCACATTCAAAGAAAACATTTTTTGGAACTGGGGATCGAATTCAGGACCTCGTGTTTGTGAGGCAGGCACAGCGCCACTGAGCTAAATCCCCAGTCCATGAAAACCATTTTGAATCACTTTAATGAACAAGTACAGCACTCACTGCCACCACCATCACCACTGCTGACTAAGGCATAAAATAAAATTATCAACCTAGTTTGAAAATACACAAAATCTCTGTAAGCTTAATCTTTTTCTAATGAAATAGTTTAAGATGAAATAAGAATGGTAGGTACAACCATACTACTAGAATAATGCCTTAGACTATCTTCGTAAATATAAATGTAGAACCAGTATCCATATCATGTGAAATTCTAAGATGAACTAAAAACCATGGCCAAATACAACATAAGAAAGACAAGAATGTGTATTTTAATGTACTTAGAACCATTGTACTAATCTGCCAGGTACTTTACATTATTTGTAATCGTTAGATCAACTCCATAAAGTCTATCTAGAGCTACATTCTACAGTTGAGAAGTTAGACATGGAGAAGATAAGTTAGCTAGGAGGTGTTTGGAAATGAATCCAAAATAATTAACTCTAATATCTTTATTCTTTATACTTAAACATGCCTTAGTTCTCTCCTTCCCTTTCCTTTTTGCAACAGGGGGAAAATGATAAATATCTGAGAAAAGATTTAAACAGGAATAATTCCTCAAAGTATTTCCCAATGTAGATCTCTGCCTATCAAAAAGTCACTATCAAAAAGGGAAAAAAAAAATAAAAGAAAAAAATGTGAGATAATGAAAAGATGGAAATAAAGTGATTGTAGATGGGGAGGGGAGGAGGGGGTGAAGGGAGGGCAGGGACAAGGGGAAAAAATGAGAACCAAGACTTGTCATGTAAAGGTACAAGATCCCAACAATGAATGTAACTGTACTGTATCCCTAAAATGTACCAATAAACTCAATTAAAGCTGAAAAAAAAAAAAAAAAGTCATAGGGCCAGGGATTTAGCTTAGTGGTTTCGCCACCTACCGCATAACCACAAGGTCCCAAGTTCGATCCCCGGTACCCCCCCCAAAAAAAGTCACGGGCCAGGGATTTAGCTCAGTGGTTCCACTGCCCACCTCGCAAGCGCAGGACCCAAATTCGATCCCCGGTACCAAAAAAAAAAAAAAAAAAAAAAAAAGGCATGTAATCAGACACACCAGTATACACTAGAGACTTAGCTACCTGAGAGGGTGAGACAAGAGGAGCCTGGAACCCTGGAGTTCAGGGTGACACCAACAGAGTAAAATTCCATCTCTCAAAACAAAAGGGGCAAAAACAAAAAAATTCATACAACAGAACCAAACTTGCCCGGTGGAATGGCCTATAATCTCAGCACATTGGGAGGCTGAGGCAGAACAGTGGCAAACTGGAAACCAGTCTGGGCAATTTAGCAACTTAGTGAAACCTTGTCTCAAAAAAAAAAAAAAAAAAAAAAGGACTGGGACACAGCGTAGTACTTCAAAGGCTCTAGGTTCAATCCCCAGTACCACAAATAAAAGAGTTACTTCTTGGGTTTGAATCCCAGCACTATCAACACAACTAGACGAATATAGAAAATTTACCAAACTTTTGTGTCCTGCAATCCTACTTACAATAAATGTCCAACAAATACCAGTTATGCCAGACATGGTAGTGTATGCCAAAAATGCCAGCACTCTGCAAGTCTGATGCAGGAGGACTGAAAGTTCAAGCCTAGCCTGGGCAATTTAGCAAGACTTTGTCTCAAAAATAAAAATTAAAAATGTTTGCAGGTGTAGCTCAGTGTGAAGGCCCTGGGTTCAGTTTTAATCCCCAATAGCTCAAAAAAGAAAGTTATAATTATTACTATTAGTACCTTGACAACACTATTAACAAATTAACCAAGAAATAAAGAGACTTAAATAATAACGTAAAAAATAAGATAAACACATTGAATACCTCAAGGCACTTCAGAAATAGACTTTCCAAGCAAGCTCCTTTGTCATCATGTAAAACTGCCTGTGTTAAAACAGAAATGTTAAAAAAATAAAAAAAGGTATCTAAGTCTGCTTTTCTCAAACATCTTCAAAGGCAAAGCAAAATAAGTAAATCATGTAAAAAAAGAATTTGCCACCTTGTTGAAGTTGGATTTGAAATTCAAATTTCAAAGCTTGATTACACCTCTCTCTGCTCAGTCTGTGCAACACAGTGAGTTCAGAGTCACCTGAACTACACAAGGACACTTGGGTTCATAAAACCAAAAAATAAAAAAAAACAAACAAATAAATGTAACAGGCTTACAGAAATTGAACTTGAAGGCTTAAGGCAAAACTAGTTTGTTGGGAGTTTTTTACTGTTTCAATAAATTAAATACTCATTTAAAACATAGTCATAAACAGCCTCCTTTACTGAAAAGCTCTCCTCAGTAATAATCACAGCTACAGTTGGACAGATAAGGATAGACCATGGGGATCTCTAGCAGCACAAGGAGGGACATGGACATCACCCGTGTGTCCTACATGACATCATAAGCCCTTCTGTAATAAAGTTCTTTTTCTAAATTAGTAAAATTAAGAGAGAGGTGAAAGCCAGGCTTGGTGTAATTCTAGTCCTCGGGAGGCTGAGGCAGGAGGATCATCACGACTTCCAGCCTGGGCTACATAGCAAGACGTTGTCTCAAACAAAAACAAAAGGAGAGAGAGTAACATGGTTAGCACACAAGCTCTTGAGCCAAAGGGGCTCAGTTTGTCCCTGACCCTCCATGTCCTATCTCTGAGGTAGGTGCTGGGTGAGCTACTTCTCTCTGTGCCTGTTTCCTCCTTAGGAAAATAAAATCCTTTTCTAACTAATGGAAGAGCCATAGAGACTAAGTAAATTGAGACACTTGAAGCCTGCCTGCCACGGAGTCAATGCCTGGTTAAGCAGGGTGGTCTCTAATCAAAAGAAATGACATACTGGACTTGTGTCCCGTACATTAACCACTGCTGCAGGGAAGCCTCTGAAAACCTGTCTGCGCACCGCGGCCCCAGGGATTCATTTGATGCGGGATCCACTGCAGGGTCCAGGACCACAGGCCATGCTGCCCTTCGGTTGGCAGCCCACCCTGCCTTTACCTTATTTCCTGAGGGGCAGAGCTTCAGGGTTCCATCTCGCCATACTTTGGCCTTCTTTGTCTTTTGATGAGTGTATAGGACCTGATTTCCCAAAGCACAGAAGGAAACAACAGCTTCGCTTTATATATATTCAAGTCAATGTTACATATTTTATATATATCCTCCCTACATATAAAAAATATTTACAATATCTCTCATCAAAATAAAAGCATTGGTAGGCTGGGGATGTAGCTCAGCCCGGCAAGCACAAGGTCCTGAGTTCAATTTCTACTACTGAATAAAAAAGTATGAGAGCCGAGCCTGGTAGCACATGCCTGTAATCCCAACACTCAGGAGGCTGGGGCAGGAGGATCTCTGTGAGTTCAAGACCAGCCTGGGCTACGTAGTGAGTTCCAGAGCAGTCTGAACTACACAGTGAGGCCCTGTCTCAAAAAACAAAACAAAAAGCATCAGTATTAGGACAATAACATGAATGAAGGAGGACTGGGTGCAGCTCAGTGAGTGAATATATACTTAGCACGCATGAGGCCCTGAGTTCAATGCTTAGCATCAGGAAAAAAAAAAGCTGAAGTTGGGCATGGTGGCACACACCTGTGATTTTAGCACTTCAGGAGGCTGAGGCAGGGGGATCAAAAGTTCAAGCCCATTCTGGGCAACTCAGTGAGAACCGTCTTTTAAAAAAGCAGGGGATGGCCGGGCGTGGTGGCGCACGCTTGTAATCCCAGCACTTGGGAGGCTGAGGCAGGAGGATTGCTGTGAGTTCGAGACCAGCCTGAGCTACATAGTGAGTTCCAGGTCAGTCTCACTACATAGTGAGACCCTGTCTCAAAAAAAAACAACAAAAAAAGCAGAGATATACCTCAGTACGGGCTGGACATGAATTTGTGATTGTCCTGACTCAACCTCCCAACTCAAACTCAATCCAGTGTTCTGCTTTTTGTTTTGAGGGAAATGTCAGAAAGCAAAAAAAAAGGAAGGGAGGAACCAGGCATAGTAGAGCACATCTAGAATCCCAGCTTTCTGAGAGGCTGAAGCTAGGAAACTCAGTGGTCAGGGAGACCTGTGGCAAAATACTATAAAATAAAAAAGGTCTGGGGACATAGCTCAGCACAGAAGCTCTGGGTTCAATCTGCAGGACCACCAAAATAAATGGGGGACAGTAGTGAAAATTAGTAAGACTTACAATAAATTCTTGGTTTTCCATTGTTTCTTCTGAAATTGTAAACCAGTAAGGTCCAGGAAACCATCAGTGGTTATTCAAGTATTTATACCACCTAAAATTAAAAAATGACATAGAATATTCAATCCTGACAAAAAGAGTATGTATCAGTTAGAATTTTTCCCAATACACACTTAACTAGAAACAGAAATCAGAGTTGGAAGACTACCAAGGGAAAGAGGTATAATTAAAATCTGTTATGGATATTGTGGAAAAAGAGAAAACCAAATAGAACTTGTAAATTAATTAATGGACTGCAAATATTGTTCCAGGCACCACAATATGTATTAGAATGTGAATGTCTGCTTCCAAGTTTGGCTCCTTACAGCCCAAATCCAATTTTTAAAGTTTTCAGGATTCTACAGTGCCCACAAGATGGCCCCCTTGGGTTTCAAATGTCCCCTTACCCCTAGGTGTCAGCTAGCAGTGACAGGTCCCCCTCACACATACACAATTCCAAAATCTGCAGATGCTTAAGTTTTTCATATAGCAGTATTCATTTTGCATACAATGCACACACCCTCCTGTATACTTTACATCAAGTCCAGATCACTAAAATACCTAATACAATGTAAGTGATACCCATATAGCTGCTATCCTTGATTGCTCAGGGAAAGATGACAAGAAAAAAAGTCTAAAAACACTCAGTTCTACCGACACAGCACCAGTACCAAGAGACAGAGGCAGACTGTACATCTTTTCTTTTGTACTGAAGATTGAACCTAAGACCTTTGCATTGAACTATATCTTCAACATTTCTTTATTTCTTTTTGTTTTTTTGGTACCGGGGATCAAACTCAGGTCGTTGCACTTGCAAGGCAGGCTCCAGAACCACTGAGCTAAATCCCTGGCCCAACACGTCTATATTTCTTAAGACAGGATCTCACTAAATCACTAAATTGCCCAGGCTAGGCTCAAAATTGGGATCCTCCTGCCCCAGCCTCTCAGAGTGCTAGATTACAAACATATGCCACATGACTTCTGAACCGACAGCGACCAACATATTACCTGGAAACTAGGGAGAAATGAACATTTTCAGGTTCTGCTCTTCAGAAATCATAAAGCTGGGGCCCAGTAGTCTTTGCTTTAACAGCCCTCTAAGTGATGATGATGTATGGTCAAGTTTGAGAACATGACCTTAAAAACCTAGAGGGATTCAATAAAACTTTCATTCGTGATTGTGGGCCCACATCCTCCTTATACATAAAAGATGCACTACCTACGTATGATTTGGAAATTAGATGTGTTTGTTCAAAGACAAGACACTGTGCTAGTCTGAGATAGTAAATGAAAAAAGTACTATCCCTGATGTCAAGGAATTTTCAGCAGAGCAGAGCAATGAACATTAACTACAATAAGCATCAGGATGGAGATCCAACCTGGTTCAGGGAGGACATGGAACCCAGATTCCTCAAGGGAGGAACACAGAAGCTGTAAATTCCCCAAAGGAAGATGGTCTTCCCAAACTGGAAGCAGTAGGTACAGAGGCCTGCTCAGGAATCTCTGAATAGTCCAGGGACAGGGTGTGTGTGTGTGTGTGTGTGTGTGTGTGTGTGTGTGTGTGCGAGCGCACACGCTAGAAGTGTGAGGGCTGAGAGAGCAGGCTGAAGTCATCAGTAGTCAGATTTAGAGAACTTACTATGTTCTGCTGAGGAGTCTGGACTCTCCATAAAGACAGTAAGAAGCTGTGGAAAGATTCTAAGAGTTACATGACAGGGCTGGGGATGTAGCTCAGTGGCACCACACCTGCCTGGCAAGCGCAAGATCCGGAGTTCAATCCCTGGTACCAGAAAAAAAAAAAAAAAAAGCAACATGGCATAACCTGACCTAGATTTCACAATTATCCTACCAGCTGCTGAATACAGGTAGGATGGGATAAGAGGTAGTAGGCAAATGTGATATATATGCTTGCTCCGGGACAAGGGACACAGGTCACAACACAGGACCCAGACACACAAAGGTGTCACCACCTGAAATGTAACTCTGTCTACATCTCTCTTTCAGCCCATGGGAATTGTGCGATGCCTAAGAATGCCAAGAAGAGAACAGGGGTCCACAGAAACTTACCTCTGGTGCTTCCAGAACAACTTGCTCCCCACTCTGGAATGGGCTGGGTATTTTGTGGATGTAGACAGGAAAGTGAATAATGCAGACACAGTGCTTGGCACATGGCAGTTATTAATATTAGATTCTTTAACATCAGGTCATTTACTCAATACAACTATATGTTAGAACTATTAAAATGCTTACAACATTACGAGACTATTTCTATATCCACTTAAGAAGCTGAAGGGGTTGGGGATGGAGCACAGCAGCACAGCGCTTGCCTGGTAGGTGCAAGGTCCTGAGTTCAACCCCCCGTACAAAAAAAAAAAAAAAAAAAAGGAAAAGAAACGAAACTGAGGTATGTAAGAATAATGACTAAGATCATAAAGTAAATAAAGGGCAGACTCCTAATTCAAAGCCAACTTGTATAAACTCCAGTGCTCAAGCTCACAAAAGTTACATTTATATAAAAATTTACTGACTACTTACAGGTCAGGCAGGAATTGGACTAGACCTTTATATATACTTATCTGTCTCATAATCCTGAATAGGAATTAGTGCATTAAGGTGTGACAGTGATAGAGCTGGTGTTTTATATTCTTGAGGCTCTGGATTCAATCACCAAACCACACCAAAAATAAAAACCCAGTGTGGTGGTGCACAACTGTGATCCCAGCACTCAGGAGGCTGAGGCAGGAGAATCACCATAAGTTCAAGGCCAGCCTTGGACCTTGTCTCAAAATAACAACAACAACAAAAATATGAAAGAAGAAATTACCAACATGATTTACAGATTAGGAACACAGCATTTACTAATTTAAGATTCTGTATATGCTATTTAGGAATTTCAAAATAAATTCCTCACTATTTTCCTAAATTAGAGAAGTTTCAAATCCTCAAACAGGGTAAATTAGATTATGAGATTAAATCTTAAAAAGCAGGCAAGCAAGCTTGATGGACTTAAAAACAATTAGAAGTCCCCCTCTGTCTCTCTTAGACAGAAGCATTCTTTCCCTCAATAAAGTTTTCCTACTCTTAAAAAAAAAATTAGAAGAGCTCAAATACACTCAAAAAGCATCAGCACTTTGTTTCTGGTCTTGTGGCTCAAATTCCAGAGTCCTGAACATGCTAGGCAAGTGCTCTACCACTGGGTTGAATCCCCAGCCTCTCCTTCTTAGCTTACCATTAAAACAAGAAAAGTGGTGGGCCCAAGATTTAGCTTAGTGACACTGCACCTGCCTCTATAGCACAAGGTCCTGAGTTCAATCACTGGTACGAAAATCAATCAATCAATCAATCAATCCATACCTAAATAAAAACCAAGACAAAATGGTTTTAGAGACAAGGATAAAAAATTTTCTGTAAGTGTCCACCTGTCCATATCTCTCAGACAACCCAAGTGTTGACCCAGCTGTAGTAGGTGAAAGATTAGTCTGCAAAGAAGTTTTTACAATGGTGTGGAGAAATAGGCATGGTGGTGCACCCCTGTAATCCCAGCACTCTGGGAGGCTGAGGCAGAAGAGTCACAAGTGTGGATCCAACCTGGGAAATTTAGCAACTTAGGGAGGCTCTGTTTCAAAAATAATAAAGTAAGACGGACCGGGGATGTAGCTCTGTGTGAAGGTCCTGAGTTCATTCCCAGTACCATAAAAAATAAAATAATGCGGTTCTGCAACAATTACATATGTACAGATACACATATCCGTATGTACTTACAGAGATTATTGTACTGCTATAAATATATTATGTCCGTGTCTTCAGTAAAACGTGACACTCTTAATTATAACTAGATATCTTGGGTCCTTCTGTTTTTGAACAAGCAGGACTTCTGGAACCTAACTCTGAACCCCTACATGATTCATATATAAAAGCTTCAGAATCACTGCGGCGACATCCTGTCCAGAAACCAAGCCAAATAACCAAAAGAAATTGCAAAGCAGAAGTGCAAGGCAGAGCGAGAGTGCGACCGCCACCGCCTCCCTCTCTGGTCCAAGTGACACACTCCGGGGCCGGATTCTTGAACAGCAAATTCCTACGTCCCTTCGCTCCAAATAGCTCAAGTCTCCCCGCCTACCCGCGCTTCCCCCGCTGAAAACCAAGAAAAACCTCATTTCACCTCAAACCACTCTCGGCACAACATCCACTTTCAAATTTCTCCCGCGAACGAGCGTTACGTCATCAGCCTGGGACCGCCCCGGAAGGAGACCCAACAATTAGCCCGCCCTCTTCCGCCTCGGCCGGAACCGCCGTTTCAACTCACCAATCAAATTCTTCGTTGGCGCCGAGCCTTCTCAACCGGCCGCGCTCTCCGATGCCCCGCCCCCTGACGGCGGCACTGCTTTATGACGTTAGCGACCCACGCAGGGCCTCCTGGAGCGTTTTTTCTGAAGGCGGACTAGTGAACGGCGTCGCTCGGCGTATGACGCGAAATAACCTCGACTGTAGGATCGAGAGACGAAAAGGGCTGAAGGACGCGAGCCTCGGATCCTGTATTTTGGAAACTGAGCCGAGTAAGTGACAAGGGTCGCTGAGATTGGGTGAACCCTTCATCCCTCGAGTACTACTCCCGTCATCCCGCACCTTCCCGCAGCCCGTCGGTGTGGAGGGCCGTTCGCTCTGCGCACGCGCACTGCTCATCGGCCCTTGTAGTCCGGCCTTCCGACAGTGGGGGCGCCAGCGCCTGTTGCTGGGGTTCTGGGCGAGCCCCGCGGTGGGCGTTGTCGGTGCCAATTTAAAAGTAACTCGCGGAGTCGTGGACCTCGGAGACTGAACCTGTTTCGAGGCTTAGGGTTGAATTTTGGCAGCCAAAGGATAGCGGGTGGGAGGATTTGTGTTCTAAAATCAAGGCATTTTCTTCTGGTCCTCGTCTTCGGAGATTTGGGAATCCCAGTGTCAGCTCCGGGCGTGGTAGCACGCACCTATAATTCCAGCACTCGGGAGGCCAAGGCAGGAGGATTGAAACTGCCGGGGCCATTTAGAAATGTAACGAGACTAAAAGAAAATGCAATTGTAGAAGAAAACCGACCAATAAGTAATTAGTCCGTTTGTTGATAAAGGTAGAAAAACACGGGAAGGTAGTGAAGGAGCTGGGCTTTGGAAACTGAGTAGGGTGTATCATGTGGCCCAACAGGTGAGATTCATTCCTGTGGACTGCGGCTACAGAGTATTTCCTTACCAGGAAAAGTTCACTATGCCTGGAGCAGTGGTTCTCAACATTTTTTTTTTTTTTCACACGAGGTTTGTTTGGGGCGGGCGTTTGGGGTTTTCTGTTTTGTTTTGTTTTTTTGGAAAGCCTGGAAAGAGTTATAGTTGAGCGTTCTTTTAAAAAGTCCGTGTTACAAAATGTGTACCTAACAAAATACGTGTATAATTTTACAAGGAAAGATGGTGATTTTTTTAAAAATTCAGACAGCAGTAGTGGTGCAAGCCTGTAATCTCAGCACTCAGGAGGCAGAGGCAGGAGGATTGACTCAAGTTCAAGGCCAGCCTGGACTTCATAGTTCAAGACCCACATGAATTGCATAGTGAGACCCTGTCTTGAAGCAAACAAAAATTTCATGTCTTGTGTAGCACATTCTTGGAGGTTATCTTATCTTTCATATTTTACAACTGTAACTTTTTTTTTTTTTTTAGACAAGCTGGCCTTGAACTCAGTCCGGAGTCCAGGCTGGTTTAGAACTCACTGCTATCTTCCTGCCTTAGCCTCTGGAGTACTGAGATTACAGACATGCCAACACACCTGGCACAACTCTGTAGCTTGTAGATCTCCATGAAGATAAAATTAGGTTTGTCCAGGGCAGATGTAATTTCTTATTATCTTGATCAGTATCTATTACCATTAATTTCAACTTTTATCATTATATATATTTTTATGTGTGAGAGCGTATACAGAGTTTGCCAAAAGAAGTGCTCACTTCAGGAAAAGAAAAATGTATAAACACTTCAAAATACTAAAGGTATTGAGACATTGTGAAATTCATGCAAGTTACTTTTGGCCTCTGCAATTACAAGAGGTGCTCAAAGTGGTGGGCATTATTAGCTTCCAGACATTTATTAGTACAGCAAACTGCTCCTTTGGGTAACCTTAGTCATTGAGATTGCTCCACATGCATTTTTAATTTCTTCTCTTAAGGACCAGCAGTGTAATGGGTTTTCTGTGATCTAAATACCCTCTAGGGTCCCCATAGTAGGGTAACACCATCTGTTGAAAAATCATCCTACTGGGCTGGGGATTTGATTTAGCTCAGTGGTGCCACTGCCTGCCTTACAAGCGCAAGGTACTGAGATCAATCCCCAGTACAAAAAAAAAAAAAAAAAAAAAATTTAAAAAAAAAAAAAAAAAAAAAAAAAAATCCTACTGCTGGGCACAGTGGTGCATGCCTATAATCCCAGCACTTGGGAAGTTGAGGCAGGAGGATTGCCTAGAGTTTGAGTTCAAGGTCAGCTTCAGATACACAGACCCTGTCCCAAAAAAAAATGAAGAAAGAAAAACCATCATACTATTTTTCTTTTCCTAAAGTATGTATACATTTTTTTTTGGCAGACTGTGTGTGTGTGTGTGTGTGTGTGTGTGTGTGTGCGCGCGCGTTCTTCTTTGAATTGGTTTGTAGCCCTCAACAGGTTCCCTCATTAATTACATAAATAAAATATCTACCATATACTCATTTATATTTATACAGGATGATGAGTTTACCTTTTCATATGGGCTAATTGATTGAAGCATTGGAGATTAAACCCAGAGCCTGGCATGTGTACCACTGAGCTATACTCCCAACTCTTTAAAATTTTAAGACGGAGATTTCCGAAGTTGCCCAGCCTGGCCTTGAACTTGCCATTCTCCTGCCTCAGCCTCCCAAGTAGCTGAGATTTCAGGCATCTGTTATCACACTCCACTCCACTACCTCATTAAAATGTATCTTTTGGGCTGGGGATTTAGCTCAGCGGATCGGTGGCCTGCCTTGCAAGTGCAAGGACCCGAGTTCAATCCCCGGTACCAAAAAAAAAAGTATCTTTTAACAGTTTTGTGAAGTTCACAAGCAGTTCCATCTGAAGTGTCTTGGACTTCAGGTTATGAATTTAGGGTCAGACCTGACATGGTGCTGCATGCCTGTGATCCCAGCACCTGGGCAGCTTAGTGAGACCCTGTCTCAATATTAAGAAACAGGCCGGGTATTTAGCTCGGTGGTTCTGGCACCTGCTTTACTAGCTCAAGGACCCGAGTTTGATCCCTGGTATTGGGCGGGGGTGGATAAGAGAAGGGCCAGGAGTGTACCTCAATGTAAAGGCCCAGAATTCAATCTCCAGTACTGCCCAAACAAAACAATACACTGTGCATGGTAACAAATCACTGGAAAGTCTACTGAAGGACAGACACGGGCTTACCTGGCTGGTTTGGGCCAAGTTACTTAACCTTTGAGCCTTTGTTAAAAGAGGGTGAAAGAAACTAAGTAGTAGGATTGTAAGGATTTAGAACAATATATGTAAAGTGACTGACAGTGTTACACAGTAACTTCTCTGTTGAAAACCATGTTTAAAAAAAATTTTTTTAAGGCCAGGGATTTAGCTCAGTGGTTCTGCCAACTTCCTTGCAAACGCAAGGACCAGAGTTCAATCCCCAGTACCAAAAAAACAAAAAAACGGTTAGATATTACTGGTTATTTAACTTTTTATTTTTTCTTTATTCTTTTTGGTTTTTTTGAGAGAGGGTCTCACTATGTAGTTGACACTGGCCTGGAACTCACTGTGTAGCCCAGGCTGGTCTTGAACTCACAGTGATCCTCCTGCCTCAATCTCCGTAAGTGCTGGGGTTACAGGTGTGTGCCACCATGCCCAACTTTAACTGTTGTTTTTCAATACATATTATATTACGGAAAAAGTGCTGAGGAGTTTATGTTGCATGTTTTGACATCAGCATCCCCAAACCAGATAATTTTAGGCTATTGTTGCTTTCCTTATGAGAGTCTTCCTGCTTTCTCCAGTGTTCTTTTACCTTGCTTTTTTCTCTTTTACTTGGCCCAGGCTTGCTCCGAAGAGCCAGTTCTCCCTCACTCTTCACTTTTTCAAATAAATTTTGCTGTAGCATTTTTGGGGGAAAAAAGATAATTTTAGATTCACAAGCAGTTGTAAGAAATAAAAGATTCCCCTGCCATACTCTTCCAAATCTGTTTTAAACCAGTTACGCATAGGCATCTGTGAGGGCAGATGGCTTCTTCGTCAATTTATAAACTGTTGCTACATTCTAGTGTCTGTAGTTTGGGAAACACTGACTGGAGATGAGAATCGTTTCAGGTTGGTAAATAATAATATGTGCCTTATTGACAAAGTTCTCTATGGCAGCAATCTGAAGTGCTCTACTTACACGTCTTTGTTTTGTTTTGTTTTTGTTTTTTGAGTCAGGGTCTCACTGTGTAGCTGAGACTGACCTGGAACTCACTAGCCCAGGCTGGTCTCAACTCACAGCAGTCCTCCTGCCTCAGCCTCCCGAGTGCTGGGATTACAGGCGTGCGCCACCACGTGGGGCCTATAAACTTTTTTGTTTTGTTTTGTTTTTGTTTTTTGCACATTTCTTTGATTAATCCTCACAACAACCTTGTTTATAGGTGTGATTTTTAATGCAGATTTTATGGATTATAGAAAGATAGGCTAACTTGATCAAAATCCATACAGCTATTAAGTAGCTAGTGCAGTTAGCTTGGTAGAGTACAGCATCCTTAAACAATGTGAGCATGGTAGAAAGCACAGGCCTGTGTAGGAAAGATAGTAAACTGGAATTGGAATGTGTGGAATGACAATACACATACCTGTTATCACAGGATCTTGAGAAAATACAACCCTTGAGGATCAAGACTAACAAAAGTATTTCCTGTAATTTCCTGCTTTTTTGCAGGCATTGTGTAGCGAAGCTAAATTGTTCCATACCTCCTGTTGCTTTCTGCTTAATCCGCATCTTCCTCTAAATCAAAGTTACCTGTGATCATTCCCAACCTAAATACTCCAAGCCACAAAAATAATTCTTGGGAAAAGGAATCTCTGGACTCAGATACAAGAATACTGGGAAAAGTCTGGATTCTGGCAGAATTAGGGCTTTCTGAGTTTCCCTCTCTCGCTCTGTAGATGCTGGGCTTTGACAAGGAAAGAATTGGAGAGCAGGTATCCTGCCCTTATAATTTACGGCCTGTAGCAGGGGCCTGGCCTGGTGATAATCACAGCATGTGTCTGTATCGTAATTATAGCCTCTCATCTTGCAAAAGATTTGAAATGTTTAACAGTTTACAGGCCCTTTTTCTTCCCTTGCTGGTGAGGTACAAGTAGTTTTAAATATAATTGTTTGATTATTCAACAAATACTATTTAGTAGTGATCAAGTTAAATTCCCTGCCCTTAACAGTGTTCACGTTCTAGTGCAGTAGACAGGCAATAAAATTACAGTTCTGGGTAGTAATGAGAGAATATCAGGGCTGGGGATTTAGCTCAGTGGTTCCACTCCTGCCTCGCAAGCACAAGGACCCAAGTTCAATCCCTGGTACCAAAAAAAAAAGGCTCTTTGAAAAAGTGATGTTCACAGGTGAATGAACAACGACATAGTCTATGCAGATGTCGAGGAAGGTCACTGAAGAAGAAAGACAAATTCCATGAAGTAGGAGTGGCTCCAGGGTGTCTGAGGAACTAGAGATGGTAGGTGCATTAGGGTTGGAATGTGCTTGCTGCAAAGGTCTATGGAAGATGAACTTAGAGAAACAGCCCTGGCCAGCTCTGTGGGGCCTAGTTACTCTGTAAAGTATTGGGACTTTATTCTGCATGTGATGAGAAATCTCAAAGGAGTTTGTGCACCGGATCATCCTGGCTCTATCTGAGCCAGGCGTTGTGGTGCATGCCTGTAATCCCAGCCCTGGGGAGGCTGAGGCAGAAGGATGGCCACAAGTTTGAGGCCAGTCTGAACTACCTAGGGACACCCTGTCTCAAAAAACAGGATAGGGCTGGGGATTTAGCTCAGTGGTTCCACTCCTTCCTCGCAAGTACAAGGACCCGAGTTCAATCCCCAGTATCCCCCCTGCCAATAAAAAGAAGATAAAGCGGACTGGGCATGTAGCTCAGTGGTGCTGTACCTACCTGGCAAGTACAAGGTCCTGAGTTTGATCCCCGCCCCCACGAAAAAAAACCCAAGATAAATAAATAAATATTGTGCCTGGAGAATTGGCTCTATTGGAATGACCAGTAAGGAAGATGGTGCAGTGCCTCAGACAAGCCCAGGTGGTTGTGGTAGAAAGCTGACAAGTCCTAGTATGGAGAATTTATTTTTATAGCCAGAGCCAGTAGAAATGCTGATGATTGACTGGAGCATGAGGAAAAGAGGAATTGGGGAGACCTTTGTGTTTTCAGCCGCAGCAGTTTTGTAGTTGTCTCCGAGGTGAGGAAACCCAGGGAGAAGGTGGTTTGCTGAAGTTAGAAAGTCCCGTTTTTCTCCTGTTAAGTTTGAGATAACCTCGACTGACAAGTGGTGATGTCAGGTGGACGTGCAGACATGGCATGCAGAGCTGGTAAGAACATAGAGATTGTGTAGTGATGAGCCAGAGAGCCTAGAGCCAGGCGCCTCAGGAAGGGCAGTGCGGAGCTAGGAAGGCGGCCGGGCCTTGATGCAGGAAAAGCCCGCCCTTGCTTCCTTGGTCCTCAGTTCTTTGTCTTTTATGGAGGATTCCATGGCCGAGACACAGACCTCACAGAAGTCTTGGTAGGAATCATTGTGCCACAGGTGTTGAGAGAATTACAGCATCAAGTGAGAGAGTCGCAGTGCCACACAGGCATCCGTGGAGAGTGCAAGTCTAAGACTTAAGTCTCACTTTTACTCCTGGAGCGTGAACAGCCAAGAGGCTTCCACGATGCTGGGCTCAGAAGCTCAGCGAGGCTCCAGGAACTTGTCGCACAGCGAGAGTCACCCAGGAAGGAACACACCAGGCAAGTTGGCAAATAGACCTTTATTAGTCTGGCCAGACGGCACTCCCCAAGCCAAGTAGCTCAGAGAGGCGGCCAGCTCAGAAACAGAGGCCATTTTATATAGGGCTGAAGTGGGGTTTACACTTAAAACTTACAGGAAGAGGACAAAGGCAAAGAGTCAGTTGATCTGAGCTAGTGGTCGTCACGTACTAATGATCAGCAGAGTGATTATCCATTGTTCCATTTACAACCTAGATCATCATAAAGTTCAGAACATTCAGACTACAGGCATGCAAGGAGTGGCGTGACCTGCGTTGGGTCTCTGTGTTCACTACAGTTTCCACCTAGTTTCCCAGCTACTCCAAAACAGCCACCTAACAATTCACAATTAATCATTAGTTATCCTATAAGGGATGGGGGGAGCAACAGTCTCTAGGTCGTTTGCTGGTCAACATGGAGTCGCTCTGGTTCAGTCAGGCTCCTACACAAGCTCAGGCACATTTCTGTGCTCACTGCTAGAGTCTGGAGAACTGGGATTATTGTGGTGCTTGTCCACAAGTTGTAAAATATCTTCCTGTCCATTTAGGTGACCAGTGTTTGCTTGGAGGCTTTAATCATGTAAGGATCTTAGGAAAGAAAGTTTGAGAAAGATAAGTTCTTAATTTAAACCAGACCCCAGCCCAAGGCAGGATTTTTAAAGGAGACTTCCTTTCCTGATAGCAGTGAGCTGGAGGCCATGGCTGCCAGGAATGCAGTGGGCCTTGTTCTGGAGACTGGAAGAGTGAAGTGTGAGACTTGGGGTGTCCTCACGCTCTGAGCACTAACGGACGGTTATAGATGCATTGTGCTCTGGAGTCTTTGCTACCTGGTAACATGTGCACACACACAGTCTCTCTCACACACACACACACACACACACACACACACACACACCCTCCAGGCCTGCTGATGTCCACCTGCCAGCCTGACAGGGTGCCTGTGCGGAGCCCAGCTGGACAGGCAGGGCACTGTGTGGGGTGGGGAGGAGCACACGTGCACGCACACTATTCCCAAGGAAGCAGCTTGCAACCCAGGTGTTGCTGAGGGGCCAGTGAGACAGCAGTCCTGTGGTAGCTTCGCCATTCCCTGCTCAGTGACTGCTGCACATTCTCTGGTTATTAGCTCCAGTGCAGCTGTGATTTCTCTTATGGTAGTTTCTGCTAAGTTTCATGACTCCCACATTGTTAGCTGATTTTCAGAAGCTGCTCTGAAAATGCCAAGTGCCCATCTGTTGCTGCACATTTCGCTGGAGAGTACACTGCATGCCTTCTGCTTGGGGACCATTGGGAGGCACCTGTTCCGTCTCTGGCTCCTCATCCAGCAGCAGCTGGGAGAGGCTTAGCTCTTGGCAAGGCTCCAAGCGGGAAGCTCAGTAGGTGCAGCAGCTGCAGGAGCATTTCCCAGGCTCCGCTGGGTCTGTCACTCTCCCCCGCCCCTGCAGGCATGTGTGGCCTCCCTAGATAAGGACTGGGAGCCTGGGCCACCTTCACAAGCAAGGCCCTGTACAGAACCACATCCCTGAGTGTTCATTTTTCTCTTTTGAGACAGTCCCACTGGGTCACTAAGCTGTGTAAGCTGTACCTTTGGATTTTAACGTGGCAGCCTCCTGGATTCTCAGTTTCCCAGAGTCCCGGGATGACAGGTGAGCACTGCCACACCCTGCTGATTTCTTTCAGTTTAAATTCTAGAGAAAATAAAGAAATGAACCAGATGTAGTAATATTAGGTGACAGATGCCAGGGAGGAAAATAAGGCAAAAGAGATGCCAAGAGTCTATCCAGAAATTTGCATTTTTAAATCTGATTGTGGAAGGAGCCCCTTCATGGAGGTGACATTTGGACAATTTCAGAAAGTTTGCAGGGTGAGTTTTCAGAACAGCAAGGCAGAACAGCATGGCTGACGCAAAGAGGACAAGGAGGGCTGCAAAATGAAACAGCCTGGGCCTGGGGTTTGGCTCAGTGGTTCTGGTGCCTCTCTTGAAAGTACAAAGGTCCGAGTTCGTCCCCCCGCCCCCATACCAAATAAATAAAACAGCCAGTTCCTCCACTTCTGGAAAGCAGACGTTAACACATTAAGAATTAAAGTCGAGTCATTTTATTGGAAAATCTAAAACTTTTTTTGAGGTTTGTTGAGATTGTCTTTGTTGAGTGTCTAAATCTTAAAATTCCATTTTATAGACTGTAGCGTCATGAGTTATAGGTGTAAATTTTACTCTAAACAGTCTGGCTATAGAACTTAAAAGGAACAAAAAAATTAAGGGTGTGATCCTTGACACAGAGAAAAAGACTGTGTGGGGCCACTGAAATTCTTTGTTGGAGTGCCTGGGAAATAGGCCCCGAAGAGCGTTCTTCCCGCAGCCGGTGTCGTCCATTTCTGCTCAGCTACCCAGTAACTGATTGGCAGGGGCCTGTTGACATTTTGTCTAACTCAGGAATGGAGGCTGAAGGTGGAAATCAAGCCATGGAAGAAAGCAGTGAAAAGAAGGAAGTAGAAAAGAAGAAGCGCTCTAGAGTTAAGCAGGTGCTTGCGGATATTGCTAAGCAAGTAGACTTCTGGTTTGGGGATGCAAATCTTCACAAGGACAGATTTCTTCGAGAACAGATAGAGAAATCTAGAGATGGATGTAAGTTTACTTTTCAGTCTGCCTTTAACTTATTACGCACTTATGTTACTGCATTGTAGTTACGTCTGACAGTTGTGCCAGAGTTCATGTTGAATTATTTATATTTAAGTACAGATACAGGCTTTTTTGTACAGGGATCAAACTCATGAACTTGGGCTTTCGAGTATGGTCGGTACCATTGAGCTATATATAAATCCTCAACCCCTTACACATGGTTTTAAACCAACGTCTTAGCCTGTGAGCTTTTCCCATTGTTTATTGGTACTCTTAAGGGAAACCAATTACATTCATCATTGGGATCGCGTACCTTTACGTGATCTGGGTTCATATTTTTGCACCATTCCCCTGCCCCCTTTCACCCCCTCCACTCTTAAGTATTTACAAAGACTTATTTCCATGAGTCCTAACGATTAAAGACAACTAAGCAGCAGGCATGTCACCTTATCACCAGCTTTTTCATACAGGGGTTGTGAACTGGGACCTTACACAAGCAGCGCCAGAGCTAAATCCCTGGCCCCCAATTCCCAACCTCCAAGACAACCTAAGTTTCTAATGAAGAACTTAGAGTTTTGCATTGTATGGAGTGCAGTACATCTATATATTGGGTGGTGGGAGGATTTAAAGTCACCTGTAATAATTCTGCCCAACTTACATCTTAACTTTTCCATCTGCAGATGTTGACATTTCCCTTCTGGTGTCTTTTAACAAAATGAAAAAGTTAACTACTGATGGAAAGTTAATAGCCCGAGCACTGAAAAGTTCATCTGTTGTCGAGGTAAGTTTTACGTTTACTACTTAAATTTCATGAAATCAGACTTGCCTGTCCTTATTAACTTATGAACGCATTACCTAAAGTTGGACGTGGAAGGCACCAGAATCAGGAGGAGGAAGCCTCTCGGTGAGAGACCACAGGATGAAGATGAGCGCACTGTGTATGTGGTAAGAGCATTACTTCCCCAGAAGCCCAGTCCCTGATTAAAGTGTGACACAGACAAAATGTTAGGGTAAACGTTTTATTGACATTCTGGAAGTGTGGGCCTTTAGCTGTAAAAATATAGTAATAGCATTGCTTTAAATTTACTATAGGAATTACTTCCTAAAAATGTGAATCACAGCTGGATTGAAAGAGTATTTGGGAAATGTGGCAATGTTGTTTATATAAGTATACCACATTATAAGTCTACTGGAGATCCGAAGGGATTTGCCTTTGTGGAATTTGAAACAAAAGAACAAGCAGCAAAAGCTATTGAGGTAGGTCCTCAATAAAAAAAAAAAAAAAAAAGAGAGAAAAAAAATTAGGAAATATATACATGTTATTATTTCAGTTTCTTAACAACCCACCAGAAGAAGCACCAAGAAAACCCGGCATATTCCCCAAGACAGTAAAAAACAAGCCTATCCCAGTCCTAAGAGTAGCTGGTGAGTACTTACTTAATTTTGGAAGAGATGTTAATGCTTGTAGTTGCAAATAAAATTAGCTAACTTTGTTACAGAAGAAAAGAAAAAGAAAAAGAAGAAAAAAGGGAGAATGAAGAAAGAAGACAGTGTCCAAGAAAAGGAGGTAAGTGTGGACACAAGCAGCGTGAGCAGAGGGAAGACGTCCAGGACATCAGAGGGCTCTGAAACGGAAAGTGCAGAACCCCAAAAGCAGCACAACAAGAAAAAGAAAAAACGGGACAGAGCCGAGGTGTCCAGCTTACCTGAAGGCAGACCCGCCAAGAGGAAGAGGAGCAGCTCTGCAGACACCGAAAGCTTGGCTCCCAAATCAAAAATCAAGAAAATGGCTCAGAAAAACGTTAAAAAAGAGGCTTCTGAAGTTTCCAAAGAAAACAGAGGTAAACCCTTAAAGTCATGATTGGATAGCACGTTTTCTTCAAACCACTATAGCAGCCTGAAATGTAACCTGCTTTGTTAACTTCTCTAGATGTAGAGTTTTCTACAGAAGAGGAAAAGGACACTGCAGACATAAAAGAAGCTTCTCTATTAAAAACCAAAAGGAAGCACAAAAAAAAGCATAAAGAGAGACATAAAATGGGAGAAGAAGTTATACCCTTGAGAGTCTTATCCAAGTGAGTACACAACATGGGGTCGATCGAGGGAGTTGCGAGCAGTCCATCACCATTGCTAAAGTGCAATTCCAGTTCACACTCAACAGAGTTGCATATTAGCAACAGTGGCAGCCTGCAGCCCGGATCCAGGTGGGCATGGGCACCTCTGAAGAGCACCTTCTCTGAAGAGCAGGGAGGGCCACCGCACTCAAACATGGAAGCACTTATTTCTGTCGTGTTCCAGCAAGTGCCTCCATGTTGGAGTGCGGAGAGCCCTTGGCAGATCCCCAGATGCAGCCGAACCAGTACGCCTGAGTGCTTGAAAAAGGAGGCTTACCATCACCAAAACATGGAAGCACTTACTTTCTTAGATCCAAAGCAAGTACATCCACGTTTAAGTGGTGGGGAGCCCAGTCTTAGGGGAAACTTGGAATCGCTTAAACCTGCAACAAAGGATACACGGCAGCCCTAAAGAACAGAAACGAAGGAGTTGCGCCGCTCAGGAGACACCTCCACTGAAACATGGAAGCACTTACTTTCTTTCACACAGCAGGTGCCCCCATGTTAAAGCAAAGGGGGCCCCTCGGCCCGGAGTAAAGAACTTAGTTAGCCCGTCCCCGAGGAAGCTGAACTCACTTCTACTAAAACATGGAAGCACTTACTATCGTTTGAAGACACAGAAAGCGCCTCCATGTTAAAGTTGAAGGGAGTCCACCGCAGAGCTGCCTGGCCCGGAGCGAGTGCGCGGAGGAGAAATGTCCCTTCACCTTCCCAAGCTAGTTTGCAGAGTCCGGTGCTCTTCCGCAGGGTACGGGAGATGGACCTCAGGCACTTGTATTTATACTGTTCTTAACTCCTGAATTCCTTCTGCCTTTTTATCTCCCAGAATCATTACAACAGCCTTTTGTTATTTTAATGTATTAGTTCTCGGGGGAAAGTCTGGTCCTGGGTGGGTCTGGCTACTTTTTTTTTTTTTTTTTTTTTTTTAAGTATACAGATGTCAATGTTAACAGCTAAAACCATTACCACAAGATATCCTACTCTTTAAAAAAATCTACTATCTGCTTGTTTGATGGCACAGATTAGGGTGACAATGAGAGCCCCCCACTGGGCTGGAGCAGCATTGTGTTTCTATCTGGAGAGGCTCTAGCTGTTTGAAGAAACAGCTCCATGTTAAATGTATGTAAATAGAGAAATTGCTTCCATGGGGTGTTTTTTTCTTCACAGAAATTCCTTTTCAAGTAAATTCCAAGGAATGTTATCTCTCAAATTGGAAGCAGTTTAACAAAATAATCTTTAAATCTTAATCTCTCACTTTTCCCCAGAGATGGCCGATTTGGTAAATATCACTACTTAACTAAGGAATTAACTCTTGACATTTTACTTTTGCTAATTAAACTAATAAAAGCGCACTCAGGAAATCACTGAGAAATGTGAAGCATTAATCTGAAGGAAAGCCCAGAGAAACTATGTTTGCTTATCCCTAGATGGATTTAAGACTAAACTAATTTGAATGTATGTTAGTAAAAAAAGAGAAAAGTTAGAAGAAGTGGTCTAAAAATCAGGGGAATATAATAATTTACCTATTGATTTCATCATCTGTGTCATTGTTTCAGTGGGTCATTTTTTGCTTTGCAGGAACGAATGGATGGATTTGAAAAAAGAGTATTTGGCACTGCAAAAAGCCAGCATGGCTTCTTTAAAAAAGACAATATCTCAAATAAAATCAGAATCAGAAATGGAAACAGATAGTGGAGAACCTTGTAAGGCCGCAGTGAAAGAAGGAGGTAAAGATCCCTGTTCCTGAACCTCCTACCCCTGGAGGGGAGGGATGTACATAGCCATGGAAGGCAAGGCTCTGGCTCCTGGCTCCACCAGAGAACAAAAAAGATTATTTGAAGGACCTGTTTTAAACACTACCTGTTTGAATAACACGAGTTTTCCTCTACTCTTTTCATTATTATGTAAGATTTAATAACGAGTTTCTGGTTTGTATGAATGAAGACTGCAGTTGCTTACCTGTAATTTCATTCCGTAATGTGAACCACAAGTAGGAAACATGAATTGTTTCACAATTAGGATATATCTTAAATTGTTATTAACTGTAAACATAAATCTTCATATTTGAATAACATTTAGAATATCTTTAAATAATTGTGTCTATTTTTTCATTAAGTAGAATTTTTGTTCCTTGTTGGAAAAAAGGGGACATGTTTAAAGTTTCACAAATGCTCCTCGAATAGCAACACTTTGCATTCAGACTACTGAAATTTTCTGCATTTTACTTCATGTTTGGTAAAGTAAGCCGCAGAGCATGACAAATAACCTTCTTCGTTTTAAAGTTAAACCTCAATTTGAGAGGTCACTGCTGTACAGTAGTCCTCTGAGGCACCTTAAATAACTCCCTGTGGAGATTTACTCCTGCTCTTTGCTTTTCACATCTGTAGCCAATGGTCCAGAGTGTCGCCCTCAGGAGAAGGTTAACCCGCCAGGACCCCAGTTTATGAGTGGAGTCATTGTGAAGATCACTAGCCCAGAACCTCTACCTGGCCGGAAGCAAGTCCGGGTAAAACTTTTTTTTCTTTATCACCCCTCCCCCCAATTCCTGGAGGTTGAAATGAGGCCTCTAATAATCTAGTCAAGCACTGAGCCACTGAGTGCTGAGCTCCTGGCATATTAGTCTCTCTTCTTTTTTATCTTGCCTGCGTGAAAGTATTTTGAATGTGGGAAAGAAAACAAACCAGATTAGAATTTGTACCTCTGATATTTAACGTGAAGCAAAACCTGAAGACTGACATTCCTCACACAGCCTAATAATACTGAGCACACTTTATTGTTGTTTTTTGGTTTTGTTTTTTTTTAAAACAGGGTCTCACTAGGTAGTTGAGACTGACCTGGAACTCACTCTGGAGCCCAGGCTGGTCTCAAACTCTCAGCGATCCCAGCCTCCCGGGTGCTGGGATTACAGGTGTAACCACCACGACCAGTTTAAACACTTCTTTTACAGGAAGTTGATTCTTGTGCTTATGATCACTTGTTGACTACTGTGCAGCTTAATGGGAAATAAACAGCAGTCCGAAATAAAAGTGCAGATAATAGAAAAGTGCTTGCCTATTATTTTTTAGAAAGTTTCTTTTGTTTTCAAGGAAAATAGTTTAGAATAATACTTGGCACCGTTAATCCACATTAGCAATTGGTCTAAAATTATTTTGAAGTTATAATCATCTGATGTTTTCTAGATTTTTTTGTTGTTGTTTGTTTTGTTTTCTTGAGACAGGGTCTCACTAGGTAGTTGAGACTGACCCGGAACTCAGTGTGTAGCCCAGCTGGTCTCGAACTCACAGTTATCCTCCTGCCTCAGGCTCCCAACTCCTGGGATTACAGGCGTGCACCACCATGCCCAGCTAATGTTTTCTAGATTTATAACAAACTGGATAATTTATGAACTTGTATTGAGCTTTCGATAGATTCCTGAATGAGTATTACCTAAAATAGTCAAAACTGCTAATCAGAATATTTGAAGAATGCATGTTTTTCACTCAATTTTATTTGTTTCTTTTTTTGTACCAGGGTCAAACTCTGGTCCTTGAGCTTGTGAGGCAGGCAGCGGAACCACTGAGCTAAATCCCCAGCCCTGAAATACAGGACTTTTTGCAGAAACATTAAATTCATGCTGTTTAAAAGGTTTCAGCTGGGTATGGTAGTGCACACCAGTAATCCAGGACTCTCAAGGCTGAGGCAGGAATGAATCTGTGAGTTCAAGACCAGCCTGGGCTCCATAGTGAGTTCCAGGTCAGTCTCAACTACATAGTGAGACCCTGTCTCAAACCCTCCCCAGAATAAATAAAAGATTTCAAACAGCTACAGATAAGTGTTAAGCTGGTTTTGGGGGTGGGGGTTGGTACCAGAGATCGAACTCAGGACCTTGAGCTTGCCAGGCAGGCAGCAGCACCAGGGAACTAACCCCCCCACACACCGCATTCTGCATGTGCAAATCAGTCACACAGTTCTATAGAAAACGAAATTGCTGCACATGCTAATCTTTACTACCTCTTTTTACTATAAACTTTATCTTCCACATCCTTTTTAGCAACATGGATAGTGATACTTTGCTCTTGCTAATAAAGTCATGTCCCTCTGTGTTGGAAGTACTTTTATTTACCTTTATCCTGTAACTCATTTAGGTGAGACACTTTATTTTTTAAATTAACTTTTATTGATACATTTTAAATATACATAATAATAACTCATCATAGGGAGTTTGTACCTGTGCATGATATTATTTTGATTCTTTCCCATTCCCCTCCCCTCCTACAACAAGTTATTTTTAAACTACACAAAATGTTGGATTACTTACCTGGCAGTGGAGATACCATGATCACAAAATGCTGCACAATACCAAACATTTCTAAAATACATTTATAATGACATTTAGTAAGTACCAAGTAGTATGTTGTTTGGGTTTTGCGTGGACCCATAACTAATACTCAGGTGGGGGCCGGGGCTTTGGCTCAGTGTTTCCTGTCTCAAAAGTGCAAGGGCCTGAGTTCAATCCCCAATA